AAAAGTACAGTATCATATTGTACTGTACTGTATTGTACTATTGCACTGTACTGTGCTGTACTGCACTGTACTATTTCGTACTGCACTTTATTTTGTTGTACTGTATTGTACTATTGCACTGTACTGTGCTGTACTGCACTGTACTATTTCGTACTGCACTTTATTTTGTTGTACTGTATTGTACTCTACTATACTGTATTATGCTGTACTGTATTTTGTTGCACTGTGCTGTGTTGTACTATACTGTACTATACTGAACTGTATTATATCGTACTGTACTGTGTTGTACTATACCGTGTTGTACTGTACTGTATTGTACTGTCCCAGTATTGTCTTGCACCATATTGTACTGTGTATATTGTGCTATACTGCACTGTATTTTGTTGTACCGTATTGTACTATACTATACTGTGCTATACTGTACTGTATTTTGTTGCACTGTACTGTGTTGTACTGCACTGTATTTTGTTGTACCGTATTGTACTATACTATACTGTGCTATACTGTACTGTATTTTGTTGCACTGTACTGTGTTGTACTGCACTGTATTTTGTTGTACCGTATTGTACTATACTATACTGTGCTATACTGTACTGTATTTTGTTGCACTGTACTGTGTTGTACTGCACTGTATTTTGTTGTACTGTATTGTACTATACTATACTGTGTTATACTGTACTGTATTTTGTTGCACTGTGCTGTGTTGTACTGTATTGTACTATATTGCACCATACTGTAATGTACTGTGTTGTACTTCATTGTATGGTATTGTACTGTATTGTACTGCATTGTACTACACTGTATTGTGTTGTAATGTATTGTACTGCACTGTATTGTAATGTAGTGTTGTGTAATTACTGCTGACAGTTACCTGTTCGTGCAGGGATGGATATCTAATATGTCCGACGAGATCTGGGCCTTTTTATTGTGTGTTTTAAACTGTGGACCTAATTACAGAATGTGTGTGTTGTAGAGCTCCTGCAGGCACAGATTCAGGAGAAAGTGGAGCTGCTGCTATCACAGAAGGAGTTCCTCTCCTGACAGGTTTCACGGCAACGTCATAAATAGCATGCCCTAGATAGCAGGCGAGCCGGTGTTGGGTTACAAAGCTCAGCACAAAAACATGTGAGGTCTGGATTTACCAGAGAGAAAAGAAAGAAAGAAAGAAAGGGAGGGAGAGAGAGAGAGAGAGAGAGAGAGAGAGAGAGAGAGAGAGAAGGGGGGGGGAGGCCCTGACAGTTACAGCAGATTTACACAAGACCACAAGACCACCATGGGAAAATTAGCAAGATCATAATTTCTGCATGCTGACTGGAAGAGTTTTCACTCAAGTAAAAACATCAAGAACAACCTGGACCAGACAAACTCTATAAGCCAGCTAAATGTGTCCTGATGCACTGAAGGTAATGTTCAACCAGGCCGAAGGTAATAACGTGAACACCTAGCGGCACCTACTAACCGGGCCACAGGAGGAGCAGGGCTTAAAAGGTGAATAACGGAGCCTAGTGCCCTCACTGTTCACTGACAAGGTTTGTACTGTATATATGTTCTGCATATCTTAATGTAAATCGTCTCAACCGCCAGATCGGAATTCATGTGGCTTTTATGTCAATCCAACCCGACATTCGTCATAATCTTGTGCTGCTGAGACTCATGAACATCTGGGGTGATGTTTCTGTACAAAAATGAGAAGAGACTCATCCAAAACCCTCCGTGTTTGAAGAGATTTCTAAAGAAATGTCTGAACGCGGCCGCAGGAGAACGAGGCTGCAGCGTCAAAGAACAGTTAAAAGTCTGAAAGCAGTTTAAAGAATCCGAGGACACGAACCAAAGAAGTGACCGCGCCATTTTTACGGCCCAGCTGTCAGTCAGTGAAGCTTCATGATGGCTCCTGTGATACTGGTGAAGATGAAGCTGATCCTCCGGGAGCGACTGGCGTCATTGGCGGTCATGATTGTTTACCCCTGGATGAGCCGTGAAGCAGCGTGACGCTCTGTTCTTTTGCGCATGAGGGTCAGTTTAGGAGCTGATCTGTTCAGACTGATGATACAGATCACATTTAAAAGATAATATCAACAGCCAAACAAAAAACTCGGATTTGGTGAGAAAATCAGATTTGGGCCACTTTTACCTGCTGTGTGAACGTAGCCTTAGCTTCGATGTCACAGGTTGGGCGTGGTGGAGGCACCTGACTACACATGCGGTAGTGAGTTTTAAGGGGACAGTGCATGAACCCACAGAGTGGGGAAAGGATTAACATAATTAAAAAAAAAATTGAAATAACCGACATGGGCGAGATTACGTCGGTTAGAGGTTCTGAATGTCGTTTTCGATTATTTTTCGATTAATCACCAGGCCCTAACGGAGCCGTCAACAAATGAGCCAAAACAGAAACTAAAAGTTCAGCGATGAGTTCTCTTCCCACAGTAGTTTTACTCCAGACAAGAAAATAAAATTGCTGACCATCAACACAATGAATAATTGTTTTTCTTTGTCTCAGTTATGGTGTGGATATGTTCTGGACATTGTTATTCTGCAGCGAGCGACAGCCGGATTCCATAATGCCAGGCAGCAATGATTCACTTTTGGACTGATGCCATTAACTATGTTAAGACTCTGTAATCTCTGATACCCTGCTGTTGTTGAATACTTGTATATATATAAATGTTTTTTTAGCCCCTCCGGTCCATTTTTTGACACTTCATTGAAGGTCTGTTTTATCTTTTCGGTCAAAAATGCAGCCATGTTTCACATTTTTCGGTGGCTGAAATTTCGGTGCACCCCTCCCATGTTTAATGCAATCCTCCCTCAAATTCAAATGCTTATTCTGCAATTTTCCACATACTGTACACAGTAGGGTGTAAGGTGTCTGGATGGATCAGACGCTAGCAGAGTTGGCTGTTGGTTAAAAGCTTAATAAGGGGCAAACGAGACGAAATCCAGCAACAGGCAAGAGGTCCATAAACCAGAGCATACATGGTAAACAAACGGAAAGCTGAAACAGTACTTCACAACATGACTAAACTAAAGCCTGGGCTTTATACTGAACAGGAGTATAGAATTAGTGATCAGGAGAAGCTGAGCGTGGATAGGTGGATGGTAAAGAGTCTGGAGTCTGGTGACTTCCCAGAGGATTCTGGGAGTTGGAGTTCGCACCAGAGTGAGAAGCAGTGGTAACAGTGGAGCCAGGGAGAGGCGTGACATAAGGGTGGGAGATTTGATGAATGGAACAGATAGAAAACTCCCCATACACTGCCTCGTTAAAAATGCTATCAAAGGCTATGAATACAATGGTTTTATATTCAGCTTTTCACACACTCTGCTGCACTAAATGCATCTTTATGTAATGAATCATGTAGTTGGTCAGTGTTCTTTAAGTACTGATGATATCCACAATACTCAGAACAGGCAATTTATAAAATTACGCTTTGTTACAAAAAGCCAACAAACCAAACATGTAATCTTCTCCACAGAATTACCGAACTACAGAGAGCACCATAAAGCCTCGGACTGGGTAAAGGAAGCAAATGCAACGGTTGAGTCAGTCCAGCGATTGCAGGCAATTACTAGAGTAACAAAAACACACGCCTCCAGCATAACTTATGATTTATTCAATAGATGGGGAAATGGCAATCTCATCACGACCTATGATTTAGAGGGAGACAAATGATTTCACTCATAAGACTTCAAAGCACCCCTGCCCTAGGTTTTTGCATAATGCAGTGCATATTTCAGGAGGGAAGTCAGCTCTTACAGCAAATCGTCTGTGAAGACTTTCATTTTGTGCCTCAGTGGATGGTAAAATGAATTTTCCTCTTCACTGAGATTTGCCTCAGTTTAAATAAGACCAAGATATCAAGAACCCACAGTTAAGAGAAAAGCAGCTTATATTCATTCGTTCATCCATCCATCTATTTCTTTGATTCACAGATTCATTAATTTGCTTAAAATGTATTCACTTGCTCAGATTCATTAATTCAGTCCCAGATTCACTCAGTCATAGAGCTTCGTTCCTTTCCACAAGGTCCCTAAGCAGTGCTCTGATATTCCCCACATACTGATTACAAGAGTGAATCTTTTCAATCGGAATGCCCAGCATCACCACCAACAAAGACACATGCAATGACCAGTAACGTTTTTGCTTTAAATATTGTCCTGTAAAAGTATTTTAATTTTCTATTAATACTAGCCAGTTTCAAAATGCGCTGCACTACAGTCCCCAGCATGCACTGCGACATAATGCACGCTCTGACTCTCCCACCCCAACAACAATCTATGGGACAGCGGTTACACCTTAATTCTACACAATTCCACACAATTCCACACCAGTCATATCACCAAACGCATTTCAGCTGCAGCTGCAACCAATATAAACAATTAACGTCAGCTCAGCGGCTCAGGAATTGAGCCCAAGTCTTATTGAACTTGCAGCAAAGAAAGGACACCAGGTGTCTAGTTCAAGCAAATAAGTAGGCTTAAAAGACTGAGCTCCTGGGGACGTTTACATTTTGAATACTTCAAGTGCCCATGCAATATTTCAAGGTCTACTACAAGTGTCTGTATTTTACTGTTGAAGTTTTTGCATATTTTGAATAAATATTGGCCAGGTTGGGTTACAGCACAAAATTAATTATAAATAAAATAAAAACATTTTTTTTTCTCTGGCCCACAGATCTGATGAGACTTTTTAATATGGCAGCTTTACTGGTTGAGTTTAACACCCCTGATTTAAAGAATCTGAAAAGGCATCACCTAAATGCCCCCACAGGCAGCTCTGGTTAGGTCCTCTGAAAAAAACACTAAAGGCAAATCCAAATCAGGATACCGGCAACTTCTTGCACAACAGTTTAAAGCTCCCTTTTTCACTTCTGATTTATTTCACTATGATTTAGAGTCTCGCTCAAAATATCTGAATACCCTGTGCTGTCCATTTTGCAGGGAACTATTGGGGCAAACAAACTGCACCTTAATTCATTCATGCATTCATTAACTGTACTCACTCTGATGATTTCAGGCGTCTGCTGGATGAGTATAGTCGAACCCGTGTCTCTCCCTGTGGGCACTGGACTGGTCACTGAAACAGGCACAGGTGAAGGTGTAGCTGCAGGTGCTGCAGATGCATTAGCAGGCACAGGTGTGCTTTCCGCTGGAGGCTCAGGAAGAGGTTCTGGAGAAGTTTCCTGTTTAGCGGTGGCCAAAGTGTCCTGGAGCAGGCGCATGACTTCACGCTCCTTGGACTGAGTCCCTAATCCAGCACCACTCTCCACCAGCTCCTGAGCAAAGCTCTCGATGCTTTCCAGAATCCGCAGCAGCAAAGCACCATCATCCTCTTCACCTGCCTTGCCAGTCTCACGGTCCACTGGCTTGGGGTATGAGAGTCCAGGAAGATTCTGGGTCACTGCTGGACACTGAGTCCCTGAGCTAGCAATCTGGTGCTGGTTTTGGTAGGAGTTTGCCTGGTGAACAGATTCATTCATTCGCTTCAACTTGGGTGGTAGTGGAGGTTCCTTTTGCATGTTCTGGGAGAGGCACTCCAAGTCCATCAGTAGTTTGTCAATATCATCCTCCCCTTCCCTGCTGATCTGAGGTGCTGGTTTTGAGAGCGTTCTTGAATCCATGCTGTATGGCTGGTTAATAACTGGCTCAGATCTGGGTTTGTAAGCAGTTCCATTTCTACTGAAATCTGTGAGTTTATCTGTAACGCTTGTGCCTGTGTCTGAGAGGGCACTGGCTCTTTTCGAATGCTGCCTGGAATCTGAAATACCATAGCTGCCATGCTTCCCCTCATATCTCACTGTCTTGTCCAAAGTCCGACCCACATCTGCATCCTCTTCGATGTAGAGAGCCTCCATGGAGTCTTTGCAGATGCTGTCGGTGCTGCTGGACAACAGGGAATTGGTGGAAGAGAAGGGATCATGACGGCTGGTAGAGACAGAATGAAAAGTGGATGCACTGGAAACAGAAGGTAGGTTGCTGCCATTAACAGATGCATGGGATGATAGCGATGCAACAAGACCCTGGACAGGTTTTAGGTTCCCTGTGAGATCCCTGGAACCTTCGTGGGACTCTGGCTGAGAAGGTGAGGATACAGATTTAGACTGTGGTTTTGTCAATGGCGGGGAATGGACAACATCCTCATAGCGCGGTGGCTGTTCGTTGCCAAAAATTGGCGAGAACGGACTTTGCTGAAGTCCGTGGAGGCTGTTGAGCAGTTCAGACAAATCACTGTGTTCTTGCCTCCCAGTTTGACCCAGCTCCAGCTCCAGAGGTAGCCTCTTGAGGTAGCTGGAAAGTCGTGCCATCACATTCTTATAGATGGCTTCAGGGTTGCCGGAATCCTCGTTTCCATCTCCACCCATGGACTTCCTCTTGATGCACTGCTTTATGATGTCTGTGCACTTTTTCAAGTCCTCTGAGCACTTCAGCAGGATGTCCAGGCAGGCTTTTATGTCTTCCCCTGAGGTGCTGCTGTCCGCCTTGGTCTTCTCCAGTATTCGTGCGATAAGGTTCTCCTCGCTGAGGCTGTTGAGGTAAAGCGTGGCCGTACTGCTGTTCAGGTTTTGCTCTAGAGAGGCACTGCGGCTAAGCTTCTGCTCTTCTGCCACGGACTTCTGCAAAAGGCCAAAAGGAGGACAATTCTCATCGTTGCCTGCAAAGTGGCCATAGATAATGTCAAGGTCAGTGGACCTTCGGCTGAATGAATCGGGCCTAACCTTTCGGCCCTTTCTGAAGGTCACGTGGCTGGAGGAGTACTTGATCTTCTCAAAGGAAAACTCTTTGGTCTTCCCACTAGCTAAGTTGATAGCCTCACCTGTGATGTCCTTCAGGCTTGTCGAGCTTTGGATGGTCGATCCTTTCTTGATCCTAGGGATGGCCTGGTGATAATCCTCACAGAAATGACCAGAGCTGCCATTCTCCACAGTTTTAGAGGCAGACTCGTGGAGGCTCATAGGCCGGTCCGTATAAGGACGGGAAACAGGTACATCCAGAAGCTCAGCACAGGTGCTGCGATGAGCCACCATGCAGTTAAACCCATGTTTCAGTGCCCCGCAAGGTCCATTACAGTAATGCACCGTGTGCTGAACGCGCCGGTCGATCACCACACTGTTGTAACAGTTTATGCTGCTGACCACGATGCGATAGGTCGCTGCCATGTTCTCTTAGAAATGTATAGGTGTCTTCATATAACAGAAATTATGCCTCTTGATAACAGTAAAATCAGCTGATAAAAAACTGCAAACGTTAAAAAAAACTCTTTTCGGTCCCAAACCAAGGCAAACAGCTAGGAAAGGTTCTCTTGTGGAGACTTACAGTAACAAAGGGCTACTCCAAATGCTGATTCTGCTGATTTAAGGCCAAAGAAAAAAATAATGTCCGTGCCAGTCCTTTACCGGAGCCCCATGGTTAAGGAGGTAATTGTTAGCCATAGCGACGAGGCTATCCATTCCTCAGCACAGGACGCTGTGGCCTAATTATAGGCCAAAACACAGTGCTCCTGATCATCTTTCCTGTGGACAGTGGAGGCCTGTGGGCATGGAGAAGTCTCCTGGCCCCTTCCTCAAACCCGTAAACCACAAGCCGCCTGGTGATAGTTCTGCCTTGATGTGTTTCACAGATGTTTTTTCTTCTCTTTCTTTCCAGTGGGTCGCAGATGTTTTCGTGAACCCAACAAGAGCACCTGTGAGGAAAAAAAGAAACAGAAGACACTCGTTTAGCTTTTACACTTACAACTAATACAGTGGAAATTACCCCGTAAGGCCAAAGTCTAAAACTTGGCTTTTTATTTTTGACTGTAACTTCACTATCGTCCAATGATCTATGTCCATTCCTTTAGCACAAACTCAGCTTTCAGTTGTGCTGTTGTTTGAACAAAAACCTCTCAAAAAAGATGAAAATAAGTAATTATTAAGGGTAATGAGAAAAATCAAAAAGGTACACTTTATGCCACAATGCTCTTTGAGTGACAACAGCCAATCAAATGTAACCATCATGAATCGCTGCCACAAAGGCACTGTGGCATTATCATTTTGGGTGACGTCATAATTTTTCTTCTGATTCTACAACAAAGATAGACCAATCAATCAATCAAGCTTTATTTAATCTCGGACAACACTGAGGGTGACCCTCATTTACAGTGTTGCCCAGTAGATACAGAGCAAGGGATTGATAATGTGTAAGAACATATCAAATAATAAAAGTAAATTCAATAAATAAAAAAAGACTCAAATCAGGTAAGTATAAAAAAGCAAAACATTTAATAATAAAAATACATAAAAAATATAAAACAATAATTAAAACATAGCTAAAATGTAAAGGTTAATAAAATCAGATCAAAATAAAATTAGAGGAGAATAAGATCAAAAAGTAAACAAAATATTTATTAAAATGACTAAAATAATAATAAAATAATCATAATTAAAATAAGAATATGAATATGAATAATAATAAATAAATAATAAAATAATGAAAATAAGACAATAGTGGTAAAAGATCAGGTAAAACAGTGTGAGGCAGAGTGGAGGTGGTTAGAGAGAAAAAGTTTAAAATGACTGAGTGACCCAGTGAGCCGAGCTGTAGTGGTTCCTGTAGTGAGGGTCCAGCTCGCTGGTGCTGTTCCTAAGAGTAGATTTTCCCAGTTCCTTGACTCAGCCTTGACTCAGACTCGCACCTCAGAGACTCGACTCAGACTCAAACCTCAAAGACTCGAGACTTGACTCAGATTTACATCTCAAAAACTTAATACTTGACTTAGTCTCGCACCTCAGAGACTCGTGACTTGACTCGGACTCACGCCTCAGAGACTCGAGTCTCAACTCAGACTTGCATCTCAGAAACTCAAGATTCGAGTCAGACTCACACCGCAAAGACTCAAGAATCAGACTCACACTCCAGAGCCTCAAGCCTTGACTCGGACTTGCACCTCAGAGACTCAACTCATACTTACACCTCGGAGACTCAAGGCTAGACTCTGACTCGCACTTCAGAGACTCAAGCCTTGACTCGGACTCGCACCTCAGAGACTCGACTCAAGACTCAAACCTCAGAGACTCGAGACTTGACTCGGACTTACACCTCAGAAACTCAAGACTCAGCTCAGTCTCGCACCTCAGAGACTTGTGACTCGCCTCGGACTTGCGACTCAGAGACTCAAAACTCAACTGAAACTCACAATTTCAGAAACTCAAGATTCAACTCAGACTCACACCCCCGAGCCTCGAGACTCGACTTGGTCTCACACCTCGACTAAGACTCGACTAAGACTTGAATATCAGAGACTCAAGGCTTGACTCGGACTCACATCTCAAAGACTTGAAACTTGACTCAGACCTGACTTGGAGTCTCAACTGAGAGGCTCGAGATTCGATTAAGTACCGTCCCACTTTTGCTGAACACACCATATACATTAAATAGCTGCTGTCCGTCTGTATGTGCTGTGATTTGGCGCTCCAGAGTGTCTCTAGTTAACAGGGAGTTTGAAGCATGTTGAGCTCAAGCAGATAAAAGGATCCGAGCCCTTTATAGCGAGAGACATAAACCCCACTGAACTTCCTGTCTCAGTGTGTGGAAATCGCCTCCAACCATACATATGTAGCTCTTCTTCAGAGATCAAAAGAGCCAAAGATGAGGACATGGGCTCAGATAATTGGACGATGTGTTCCAGCTAGAACTAGACAGGGAATAAAAGAAAAATGAGGAAAAAAAGAAAGAAAGAAAAAAGAAAGAGAAGATAAAGATGATTCAGCCAGTTTCACTCTGGCTTTAGCAGGGAGTCACTGTAAGTCACCAACATGTTTGTTTAATCTCACAAAAATAAAAACCTGCAAATTTGGGCCATGTAAGATCATCATTAATGAAACAGTACTTCACCCCTTTAGCCTTTTTGTCCAGCCAAAAACAAGAAAAGCAATGACAGTAAGCAATAAATTAAAAATTAAAGAATAAATAAATAAATAAATAAATAAAAAGTGCTGAAAAGTACTGAGCTGTTATCAGTCAAAAATAAATGGGAACAATAAAAAAATTATGCTAGAAGATGCATAAAAATGCATTTAAGACTTAAGAGGGTTCAAGGTGCAGGTTAAGCTCAGTTATCACAGACGATAATAAAGAAATCTATCGTTTTATATGAATTATTTCTGAGCTCACTGAAACACGGTTTGGAAAGTGTGAAGTCTAAACTCAGTTCAAACCAATTTATGTCGGTAAGCAGAAGAAGAGACGTCCAAATATCTACAGACTCCTGCACTTCCTCTAAAAATGAAGGGTATTAATAGTGAGTTTGTCCCCTCTTGCTGCAGTAACAGCCTCTTCTTGGAAGGCTTTACACAAGATGTTGGAACACTGCTGCAAGGATTTGGTTGCATTCAGCCACAAGAACATTAGTGAGGTCAGGTTGAGTGACCAGTTCTGGATCATAAATGCCACTCCAGCTCATCAAAATATAATACACTTGCATAAGGAAAGAGAAAGTCAAAGTGAAAGTAAAGTTTCCAAAACTGGAGTTCAAAAACTGATTAAAAGCTCCAGAGAAAATGTGGCTCCTAACCACCACCTGAAAGAGCTGGTGGACCCCAAAACTGCCCCCATCAGATAAACAACACTTAAAGCTTTCATCTCTGAGAGAGAGGAGAAAATCAAGCTGATCAGATCTGAAAACATCCACAGGTGTTTCTGTCCATCCTTCCACTGTGAGAAGACGACTCAGCGCTGTGGGTCTGAAAGGATGTGTAGCTGATCAAGAAGAACCTCACTGAGAAAAGGAGACGGACACATCCAACAAAGAAGCTGAACTATGGACTGACCACCCCAGAGTCCAGACCTCAACACCACTGAATGTGTTTGATTACTTCAGAAAATCATCAACCAGCTTCTAAGACTGAACTTTGGAGGTGTGTCTGCAGATTCTTTGAGGAGCTGAAAGTGAGTCTCCAGAACAGAATGGAAGCTGGAATAAAGGGGAAGAGTGACTCACTGACTCACACAGCTGAGAGTAGAGTGAGCTGTTGGGGATTTTGTGTACTTACTGGTTGGTTTGACTGGATATTTATTATTAAATAAATGAAGGGGGTCTCTGACTTTTGCACAAACACATATACACAGTCCAGATGTGTCAAGGTGAACTTCGCTAATGTATGTACACACTGTTATGTAGAATCCCTGATAAATACATTGATTTTGGCTGATTTTATCACCAAGGTCAGTCTATTCATTTCACTAATAACTCCGCATTCAAGTTATTAAAACAATGAACAGATTCATTCATTATGTATGAAATGAATACATAATGAATGAATGCTAATTTCACAAATAACTGCAGCAGGAATGTAAATATTTATAGCCCGATGAGTATTTTTCCACTGTGAATCATCACACGGCACAAAGAAGACTAAAACCACAATATTTATAAGCGATGATTGAATGTCTGTCATTAAAACCTCATATATACATTTCTTTTGGTTATTTTGGTGTCACTTCACTGTAGAGTGCTGCTCATAAGGAAACATGACACCAACATATCGCTGCTGTCGGAACAAAACCTCATATCTTCAAAACAGTAACTTCACAGGAGAAGGAAAAAAAACATACTTTACTTTTAATATAAGATTTTTTCCCAAGTCATTTTGGGCTGTTTCTTTTGGTCATAAAGTGAAATTAATATTTGCCAAAATTGGTGACAAAAATTGCAAACTCCACAATTTCTGAGCTCTTCAGAAAAAAAAACAGGTCATTTGAGTGTGTGTGTCCATACCATAAGCACCACCCACTCCACACCCACTTTATTCTGATAGGCTGCAGACTACTAGATGTCCAGTTTTAATCACTGACATTGGTTCCAGTGAAATGCAGTAAATTAGATGCAAACTGTTTTAAGCATTCATTTATTTTTCCATTTTTCAATACTGTACAGAAATTATGCTCTCTCATTATTATGACTTTCTATCTCATAATTATGACTGTCTCATAATTACAGCTTATTTCATAGTAAAATTAGTATCTCACAAATATGACTTACTATCTCATAATTGTGACTTAGTGTCTCATAATTACAGGTTAATTCATAGCAAAGTATCTCACAAATATGACTCACTATCTCATAATTATGACTCAGTGTCTCATAATTACAGCTTATTTCATAGTAAAATTAGTATCTGACAAATATGACTTACTATCTCATAATTATGACTTAGTGTTTCATAAATCCAGCTTATTTCATAGTAGAGTTCGTAGCTCATAATTAAGACTTACTATCTCATAATTATGACTTAGCGTTTCATAATTACAGCTTATTTAATAGTAGAGTTCGTATCTCATAATTATGACTTACTATTTCATTATCAGGACTTACTATCTCATAATTATGACTTAGTGTTTCATAATTACAGCTTATTCCATAGTAGAGTTTGTATCTCACAAATATCACTTACTATCTCATAATAATGAGACAGTATCTTGTAATCATGACTCAGCATCTCATCATAATCAGTATCTCTTAATTCTGACAAGAGTCATGACAATGAGATAATATCTCATAATTATGGCTTCTATATCTTCTATAACTCACTGTCTCATAATTGTGACATTTCACAATTATGAGTTTGTATCTCATAATTGCAATATGACTTAATATCTCAACATAATGAGAATGTATCTCATAAGTACGACTTCCTATCAAATAAT